ATTCAGGGGTTTTCAAAAACTGGACTAAATTTTTTCCATATTTCAAATGAAAGTTTTTAAATTTGATGGAAAATCTAAAAGGTTTCGTGTTTACTTTTAAATTAAAAAGCTTCAGATTCAGATTTCAAAGAGTTGAACCACTGAAATTTTTCAAATTTAAAAGATTTATTTAGAAAGTGATATTTTTTTTACTCTTTAAAATTTTCTGTTAATGTAAAACAATTTTTTTCACTCGGTGTTTTACTTTAAGATTTTTTACATATTTGTTTACATATTTTGTTTAAATATTTTTCATTAAAAAAAGAGGAAAATGGTATTTTTTTTATTGCTGTTTAATATTTTCTGTTAATGTAAAACAACTTTTTTTTACTCGGTTTCTTACTCTAAAGCTGTTCGCATGTTTATTTACATATTTTGTCCAAAATATTTTTCATTAAAAAAAAAAAGAATTAGCTGTAATATGCCATCTGAAATGCGTAAAATTTGATGAGCCGACAAAGGTCTATTTCTTCAGTGTAAGGAAAACCTTATGGGTTTGGTGAGTTTTCAGGTAATAGTTGCATGTCTTTGCCGCATTTGCGCTTTCAGTTTGTTTTTTGTGATGGAAATTCCGTTATCCGATGACTACTGGCTTTCTTTTTTTCCTTTCTCCATATTTTTTTTTTTCGTTTTTCGACACGAAATACTGGCATATGTTACGTATCGTTATAACAGTGATTCTTTGTCCTCATACTTTTCAAACCTAAAATTCTTAGCCCATTTTTGGAAGGTGGTAGGAGGTTTTTGGGAGTTTCCAGGGACGATGGATTTCGACTGTAAAGATATCCTGAACTGCACAGGAAGTAGTTTCATAAGCACTGTGGTACTGTTATCGATGCAGTTTTGGATATCTTTACGCAAGGCTGTTACGATTAATAGTAATCTAATGTATTTTGTTCGGACGCGGCTTCTTTCATGTTTTTTCGCATGAAATAATCAGCTCTGTGATCGATTTTGCGTTAAAATTTATCCGCTTGTGAACATTTGTAATCGTTCTCTTGCTTCGCCTCTCTCTCGGAAGCTTTTAAAGGATATAAAGGATTTTTTTTTTTGCAGGATTGCAAAAATGGATTCGGACGGTGCTGATGCTGGTGGTGAAGCACTGGTTTCAACTATCGGAAGTAATATCCAACGGCTTAGCCAGTATGGTTTGTTTTTGCAGCTTTTTTGATGA